CGATTACCTTCTGAGAGATTGCATTGAGAAATGCACATAGCTTCACAATGGCTAATCGAACGTTTTCCGGTAGAAGCCCCCTCAATGCAACCGGAAGCAGTTGTGTCATAATCACGTGGCAGTCATGAGACTTTAGGTTTTGGAACTTTTTCTCTGCCATGTTTATTATTCCCTTTATATTCGACAAGAAGCCAGACGGTACCTTAATACTGAGCAGGCATTCAAAGAAGATTTCCTTCTCTTCTTTGGTAAGAGCGTAGCTGGCATGACCCTGATGTATGTCGTCTTCTCTGTGCATACGTTGCTGGTCCTCCCGTTCCTCAGGTGTATCTTTTGTCTTCCCATACACGCCCAAGAAGCCAAGCAGGGTCACTCAAAGATTCTTCGTCACGTGCATCACGTCGATTGCGGAGCGGACCTCTAGGTCTTTCCAATATGGCAGGTCCCAAAATATGGATTTCTTCTTCCACATGGGTGCGCGTCCGTCAGCGTCCTTCGGAATAGGTTGTCCGCCAAGACCCTTTCCAAATATCACCTTCAAATCCTTGACCATATCATGTACATCAGCACCAGTACGGTGGTGAGGCTTCGTCCGGTGATCCGCCTCACCTTTGAAATGCTTGCCTTTCTTTCTTACGGGATGCCTTCTCGGAAGAAATCGACGATGTCCCAGGTACACATTCTTCTTACAACTATTCAAATATATACTGTCGGTATCATCCAAACAGTGCGTGCATCCGCGGTATCCCTTGTTTGTCTGTCCTGAAAGGTTACTGAGAGCAGGCCAATCATTGATGGTCACGAACAGCAACGCCTTTAGGTCAAATTCTTCCCCCATGTGCTCATCCCACGCACGTACACCTGTTCCATTCCACAGTTGTAAGAGTTCTTCAACTAATGGCCTTAGGTACACATCAATGTCGTTGCCGGGTTGCTTAGGGCCTTGGATGAGCACTGGCATCATAATGAACTTCCGCTTCATGCACAACCAAGGAGGAAGGTTATACAAACATAGAGTCACAGGCCAGGTGCTATGGTTGCTGCTCTGCTCCCCAAAAGGATTAATGCCATCTGCGCTTAGACCAAACCATAAGCTCCTTGCATCATCTGCAAACTCCTTCCCGTACTTTCTTTCAATTTTTCTCCACTGCGAACCGTCAGCGGGTACTCTCAACTTTCCGTCTTTCTTAGGGTCTTCTCTGTGCCATCGCATCGCCTTGGCATGCTCTTTGTTTTGGAACAAACGTTTCAACCGTGGTATTATAGGAGAATACCACATCACCTTGGCAGGAATCTTCTTCCTGGGGCGCTCGCCCTCGACATCACCATGCTCATCGCGGCTGATCTTATAGCGCAATGGACCACATACCGGGCAATTGTTCAAATCCTTGTACTCACCGCGGTAGAGGATTCAATCACTAGGGCATGCATGTATCTTCTGCACCTCTAACCCTAGAGGGCAGACATCCTTCTTTGCTTCGTACGTACTCTCGGGCAATTCGTTGTCCTTTGGAAGCATATCCTTTATCATTACCAGCAACTTTCCAAATCCCTTGTCAGATACACCATTCTCTGCCTTCCATTGCAGCAATTCCAGTGTGGTGCCCAGCTTTTGCTTGTCACCTACGCAATTCGGGTACAACAATTTTTTGTGATCCTCTAACATGCGTTGCAACTTCTTCTTCTCCAAATCACTTGCGCAGTTTCTCTTTGCATCGGCAATGGCCCGACCTAGATCATCAACGGGCTCATCTGATGCCTCTTCTTCAGCTTCTTCCCGCATTGCCGGCTCAGCTTCTTCCTGCATTACCGGCTCAGCTTCTTCCCCCATTGTTGTATCATCGTATTTAGGGAACCCATGGCCAGGATAGCTGTCGTCGTCCTCTTCTTCTTCATTGTCTTCCATCATAACCCCTCTTTCTCCGTGCTTGGTCCAAACATTATAGTGGGGCATGAAATCAGACTCAAACAGGTGGACGTGAATGGTTCTTGACGTAGAGTAATTGCGACCATTCTTACAGCCAGCACATGGACAAGGCATAAAACCATCCGCCCTCTTGTTTGCCTCAGCCGCAAGCAGAAAAGTATGCACGCCCTCAATGAACTGGGGAGAGCATCGGTCATCGTACATCCATTGCCGGCTCATCTTCATTACACAACACCGAATAGACCAAATTAATACAAGTTCATACATAAAGTTCATACAACACTTAAATGCAACAAACAAATAACTCTCTAGCTAAAGCATTTTAATGCAACAACAAATGCAATCAAGATTGCAACTAAGGTAACAATTGATCCAACAGCATAATGATACCAAGCCTCACTATCGATGGCATATTTTCTAATCTTTCTAATCTTCAAGCGCATTTTCTCCATCTTGATCTTGTGATAATCGACGACATCGGCAACATGCAACTCCAATTCCATCTTCTCCCCCTCAATTCTTTTCAATTTTTCTTTCAAGTACTCGTTTTCTCTTTCAACTAAATTTAACCTCTCGACAATAGGGTCGGTTGGAATTTCCGGTTCACATACCTCCTAGATAAAAATATCTATGTCAACTTGATGGGCATAATTTGTCATAAACACGAAATGCAACAAATAGTTTTAAAAGAGAATATACCACATCCGAATCATAACAAGGACGAGGGCCAACGGGGACGGATATCAAAACCATGGCACTATGTATAACAAACAACGTACGGGTAAGATAATTATTATACGAGTATCTATATATCCAAATCACACAAACATCAATTTTTTATATAAAATTTCATGAACAAGAGGCTCACCACAAGGTGGTGCCGACGACGGGACGGTGCGGGCGATCGGCGGTGGTTACAACGGAGATTTAGAAGGCACTAAGTAAACCACACCTACATATGCAAACTAAGTGTTATTTTGACCTCAAATTGCATATAAATCAAATACTACCACATATAATTCCTCCCAAATTACTAAAACCAACAATTAATCACTATATAAACCAATGCAAGAGCTAATCTAGCAATGAGAGATGAAAGGACAAAGTTGCTAACCTTGGTAATCATTTGAATGGATGAGGGCCTGCAAATCTTGACAAATTTGGGGCAAATTTTGTGATGAACTCGAGAGGAAGAAGGGAAGAACAGAGGAGAGGGAGAGGGGAAAGGGGGAAGAACAGAGTGCGGGTGGACGAAGGGTTTATATAGGACGACCTTTAGTACCGGTTCGTGCCACGACCCGGTACTAAAGGTGCTGGAAGGGCCCCACTCTGACAACATCCTGCCACCACTTTCTTTAGTACCAGTTCGTGGCACGAACCGGTGCTAAAGGTTCGCCATGAACCGGTACTAAAGAGCTCCTCCCGCCTAGCCATTGGAATCGGCACTAATGGACACATTAGTGCCGGTTCTGTTACAAACCGGGACTAATGTGTCTCACATTTGACCCTTTTTCTACTAGTGAGAACCTGATCCAACTTCTCGAAAGTTGGATTTGGCAACGCGTTAGCCCATGTGAACTTCCTACCTAAAAGCTTAATCTCTCTCAAATCCAAGCTTTCAATAATAGTGTTAAACATGAATGACCATCTCCCGTCGAAATTGTCATTATTCTTTTCATCACGTCTTCTAATAATGTTAAAGTCTCCCCCAACCAAAATTGGAAGTTGCTCAGACCCGCAGACTCTAACGAGATCGGCCAAAAAATCCGGTTTGAGTTCTGCCTGCGCGGCACCATACACCGCCACCAAAGCCCAGTCGAAACCATCAGCTTTGGACCGCACCCTAAACTTAACAGCAAAATCTCCCATGATCACACTTCGAACTTCGAGAGAGTCACATCTAACACCAAGTAAGATTCCACCCGACCTTCCTCTCGGTGGAAGACAATGTCAGTCAAACTCAATACCCCCCGACAAAGTATTGAGAAATTGTGGTGAGAAATTTGCTCTGCCCGTTTCCGACAATGCAATAAAGTCCAATCTATGCTCGATGGACGCTTCTGCAAGGAACCTCCTTTTAGCCAAGTCTTTAAGACCTCTGCTATTCCAAAAGATTCCTCTCATATCTCATCATGGAATTTTTTGGCCGTGCGGATCCTAGCACTCCTACGGACCGCGGACATCGGGTAAATCTTGCGCTTCCACTTGCGCTTAGGGCTGGTCCTCATGCCCACCCGGTCCACACTCCCCGCACCTGGGGATCTATCTACCTCCACGCCGACATTCTCGTCCTCCTCCTCCGGCTCCTGGAGGGGCGGTGCGAGATCATCACAAAATTTATCGAGCATCCGAACTCCCAAAGCATCAATCTCAGAAACGTTCATGGGTTTGACCGCGACTAAGTTATGAATCATTTCTAAAGCCCTCTCGGCTTCTAGATCGAGCAAATCATTTACGGAATTAGACACTTCACCCTCACTACTACCAAATGAAATTCCTAATTGGTTTGCCTTATCAACAATCTCATCATTCGAAAAATGCAAGATAGTATTGGAAGTATTCACGGACATACCAGTAGTGACCTAAACGTCACGAAGCTTTGCCGCCCTCATGGCACAGCGCTGCTGCATGTCGTCCACCTCTGGACGGCCCTGAAGCCGACAACTCAGCCGTCGGCCCTCAGACGCCTGGTCCGGAATACCATCGAACTGAATAACCTCCTCCCGCGAGAATTTATCCTGGGAGCGACCGCCTGTCACTCCCGAACATTCACCCGGTCCCTTATCTCGTGAGTTAAAGGTTGGTGATCCGCCGCCGCTGCTATGGATCCAAGCTGATGGAGTTCGCCCTGATTTCCCCATCGCCCCAACTAATGACCTCGCTACAGCCGGGAAGATGCAGCTCCGCGTTTAGGCTCCTGCTTTTAATCCCCGCCATGTTCAACAACAGGGTGAGTCGTGCTCCACTTGCAGCGGTGATAATCTGTATCAGTTGGAAGAGTCTATGATTATAAATTGGGTAGCGGTGCATGGCGTGGGCGCCATGAGGGCCATTGCTTGGAATTGCCAGAGGTATGGGCCGGGGCCTCGGCAATGATCGTATGCTCTTCTTGGCCAACTTGATCCGTTCCACTAAAGCAGAGGTAACTTTTGTCTCAGAAATTAAGTCTTCCAAAGTCTGTTCTGTTTATCTTGTTAATAGATTTGATGTTACTAATGTCCTTGTAGTTCCCTCTAGAGGTGCTTCGGGAGGTCTCTGGCTTATGTGGACTGATGATCTGAATATTACTGTTCATAGTGCTACTTTCCACCATATATTAGCTAATGTAGTTCATCCTGCTTCTGGGGTCCAATTTTGTTTGATTTGTACTAGCAAACATGCCCGTGTGTTGCAATGGTATTTTTTTTCTTTTAACAGGCCCCTATCTCAATAAGCATTGCTCAAGAATGAAAAATAGAAGACAATACTGAAGGTACGTTCGTCTGTTCAATCTTGGCTGAGGACATAATGATTTTTGACATGATGTCACTATTAATTGTCATAGATTGTGGACACAGAAATAGTAAAGACATTTTTATTCAGTTCTAGAAATATAATAGTTAAATTGTTGGCATGAAAATGATCAAACAAATTTAGAAGAGCTGAATAATAGTACCACTCTAAGCTTAACAGAATATAGTGAAATTCTGCATACCAGGCCAGCAAATATCAACAAAATATATAAAACACATACATCATCGGGAATATTAGGATCTGCTCCAGACTTTAATAGGAGCTTAATGAAGTTGGTATAACCTCCATGCATCGTAGCAAGCAACAAAGGAGTCAACATGGAACCATTGCAATTGACATCAGCACCAGCCTGTGAAAAGAATTGTGCAAAATTATGTTCATGGTGACATCTCCATGTAGAGATCGCAGAGTAAGCAAATACAACATCGCATGGAAAAATAATCCAGAGAATACTCACCTTAATGAGTAGCTTCATGCACTTCAATGAACGGTAAACAAGAGCACTCATAAGGGGACTGGTAGTACCATTGATAATGATGTTAGGCTGAAAGCAGAGCATTGTTGTATTAAGATAAGAAGCACAGGTGTTATGATAAATTCAGTAGTTACGTTTGAGATGAACAAGGATATGACTATCAAAAAGCATGTCATCATATAATCAACTGGTGTGTGTCCGGTGGTTGAAGGGATCAGATGGTAAGTAGGTCCAATCGCAATTCTGACCTAGCATGCTTGATTTGTTGGAGGATTGGAATGGGTTGCTCCATTAAATGAATCACATTTCAAAATCTCAATTGAGTGTCCCTGATAAAATGATTATGTACTGCGGCATCTAAGTATGTATCAATCCGAGCAACCAAAGCAGACCCAGGTTAAGACATATTTGTCCACGTCATATAACTCTGCAAAAAACTTAAAACTTCCCATCGAAATTAACTATGAATCAAGAGAAATAAGAAATACCAGAGGCCATATACATTTGGTGCTCTAGCAAAATCTTAACTGTCTTATCCTGCTCATTATTAGCAGCCCAAAAGAGTGGTGTTCCATGGCCACAATCTATGTCAATAGGCACTCCTTTTGACAGGAGGAACTCTGTAACCTTGCAGCATCCTGTGGTGAATGAGATGATTCCATAAGTCATGTGGGCACATGCATTGAACAAATGACTGGAGTAGAGTAAATAATTACCAGTACAATGACTAGATTGCAGAAATTAAGTGTGAGGGTGTGTGACATGGGGAGTACCTATACCCACAGCATGGTGGAGAACTGTGCGCCCTTTGTCATCTGCTTTCACAAGATCACCACCATGATCAAGAAAATACTTGACAGTAGCAACATCACCAGACTGAGCAGACACCATAAATGGAGTCACACCTGTAACAAAAGGCTCATTGTTAGCATAATCGTACATCTCATACCACTTCTTCTTCGGTACAACCCCCCTAAACACAACAACGGCTGAGATCGCTCCGTACACCTTCATTAAAAAGGGTAGGATCGTCCCAGCACATAAAAAGCCGCCTCCCGCGCGACTGGGATGTACCCGCCCGCGCGACGGGGCTGTACCCGCGCGACGGGTGCTCTACATCGACTACCCCATACACGCGTCCGTCCGTGTACATACGACGACGACCAAAGAAAAAAACGACGTCACCTGTCGAGCGACGTACTCGTGGCGACATGGCGTCGGCTAGATGAAAAAAAAGACGACGCGACGTGTGGGGACGGGCGGTTGCGTGCCATCTAAGCGTCAGTCGAGGGCGGTTCCCGACGCGGCGGACGGCCTGATGCGCCATTAATGCCGGTGTTACGCCGGGCGTCGGTCACCTACCGGACGGCCTCCCCCACCCACCGACGCCTACCTTTAAAACACCGCTCATCGCCCCGTCTGCCTCCCCCCACTCCACTCGACGCGCCTCGACCATCTCACCCCACCCACCGACGTGCTCCACCGCCAACGAGCTCCCATTCCCGGCGGCCTCCATGGCGTCCGACGGCGACGGCGGCAGTAGCTCGTGGCCGACGAGCCTGGGCACACCGGAGACAGACGAGCTCATCTGTCTCGGGCTGATGGTGCCGCCGGGCTGCCGTCTGCCTCGCGTGTTCCACATCACCGCCGACGGGTACCCGACGAGGGGGCCCGGTGCGACGCCGGTCGAGCTCCGCCAACACGAGGGTGGCCGGTGGAACATCGTCGGCCGCACGAGATTTTGGAAGGGCAAGAACTTCTGGGTCGTCATCGCGCAGGCTCGTCGGGATATGCGGACCGGCGGCTCGTCGTTGGGCCTAGGAGGCTCATCGTCTGCTGCGCGTGGCTCGTCTTCCGCCCTGCGCCGGCCCCGCCGGCCCCCTCCGGCGGCCGCGTCGTCTCCGAGCTCGTAACGCCGTCTGGTTCCCACCATCGCCCGGCCCACCTCCCCTCCCATCGTCGAGATCCCACCGGAGCAGTTTGCACTGCACGAGGACGGTGACCCCAACGATTGCCCCGACTATCTCATCGCACTGCGGGCGTCGCAGGCAGAAGCGGCGGCGGCGGCCGCGGAGGCGAGAGAGGCCGCCGAGCTGCAGGCCACACTCGACCCGCCGGTGGCTATGGCGGCGGCAGCAGAGGCCGCAGAGCTGCAGGCCGCACTCGACGCGGAGGCGGCCATCGAAGCGGTGCAGCCGCAGGTGGCTCCGGAGGAGGACGACGACGGCTACTGGGATGACGGCGGCAAGAGCAGCGACGACGGCTACGGTGACGACGAGGGTGACGTCGGTGCGGGCGAGATCATGGACCTCGCCGCCTCCGATGACGGCGAGTAGATTAGGTTTAAATTAGGTCGTTATGTTTAATTAAGTTTAATTAAGTCCTGTTTAATTAAGTTTTGTATGTTTTAATGTAAAATGAACCGTCGTTATGTTGAATGAACTATCGTTTATTGTTATGTTGGAGTGATGAAAATTAGTATGAAATATTATGGAAAAAAGTGAATCGTTTTATAAAAGAAAAGTTACCCGAAAGAAATTAAAATTAAATAGTTTACTGGTATAATTGAAAGATTATATAAAAAAGGATGAAGAGAGGAAAAAAGAAAAAAGAAAAAAAGAAATTAGAAGAAGGCATTTGTAAAAAAAATTAAAAAATGAGTATGAAATAATTTTAAATTAAAAATAGTGTTTTAGGACTGTCGAAGCCAAAAACCATAGAAAATGCAAACAGACCAAAAATGCACATAAAATTGGCACGCATGATTCCCACGTAGATACAATTCAATAAAAAAATTTGGGCATGTTTGTAAGTTACAGGAAGGAACGTGTTCGGTACACACCTTTTCGCACCGAAACCACCGGGTTGCACAGCAAGTGCTAGTTTGGTTTGCCGGAATGTACCCAACTTTTGGCAGCGTGTGTGGGGACCCGCCCGGTGACCGCACGCCAGAGATGAACAAAATCGGACTACGAACGCATGTTGCGTCACGTCCGGGTAGTGCTTTAGGGTTTTCGGTGCGGAAAATCATTGAAAATCCGTACAGCGTCGAAACGCGACAAATTTTGGCGTGCGTGTCCTGCATGGTCACTGTGGCCCGTGGAAAAAAAGTGAGCGGCTTTGGCGGACGCGACGGAGAGACTTAC